TTATTCTCACCCTCTCGAAAACTTCTCCAACCGTTGCCTGTGATAATTCCCAAATCGTTGAATCCACGTACTCCTGTGAGATTGATATTTCACTAAATATGAAAGATTAAAGAGTTATGATGATACACACAATTAATCAAGAAGGAAGGTATGGTTACAATTTGAATAGAAATACAAATTAGGTGGACCATGTTTAGCTAAGGTATGCACCAACCTTGATGGATCTATTAAAATAACCAATATTATTCATTTGAAATTTCTATGCCCATATACTTTATATCTATGCATAGATTTTCAATTCCAACATCTACAATCGATTCGTCTAAGATTCTGACAAGTACTTGACAATTGCTATCAAAGATAACGTGTGTACAACTACAAACCCGACCTAAGATGGAAGCAGGTTAAGTCCATGCTTCCAGCCGTTGAAGTAATAATTAATTTTGCAAAAACTTATTTTGCCGAGTTTGAAATGCTTAATTATAAATGCAAAATTTTTTTACACTTATTTTTTTTTTCATAACTCTAAAGCAATAGTAGTTCAATAATTTCAACTATTTTCAATCTATTTTTTTTTTTTTAAGTTTACTATATAGATCATTGATCAATAAAAATGCATGAAAAATAAATAAAAAAAAACTATATTTACGAACAATTTTTTTTTTTTACTACCTTGATCATTCTTTCTGAAAGGTTGCTAAAAAGTATATTTTTAAGGTTTCTCAGAAAAAATTATCTTCTAGGTGACATGATGACGATGATTAAGCAGATGTTGACCAAAAGAATAATTGTAACAATAAAATGTAAGGAAATTTTGTGTAAACAAGAATTTCACATTGGTGCAGTTGTTTCACCTTATGATTCATTAGTATATATATATATTTAGATTTACTCACATTCAATTTTTCCTTCTCGTTTATTAGAGAGAACACACATTATAATTCTCCATGTACATATAATATCTTACACAACACAAGAAATCATTACATAACTGATAACTACTACGAAAGCCTTATCCTCCACAGATTCCGCCGCAGCCACCGCAACCGCCGCAACCTCCATATCCTCCGCTATCCCCACTACTGTCATCACTGCCTCCACCATCAGAACCGTGACTACTACCACCATCGGAAGCTTTGGTGGTTACAGCCGCAGGTTTTGCAACAGTAGTAGTGGAAGAAGTAGCAGTCAAAACAACCAGACCACCATCTCTTGTACTGCTATTTCTAGCGTTTTCCAAGTCTCTTGTCTTTTTCATCTTGCGGTTCTCAAGACAGCATAAGACATAACGACAGCATAAGATAAAAATCACCGTATTTGTAACGACACAACCGCATACTATAAGAGCAATAACATAACCTTTCATTATTTCTTTTTAGTTTTCCTTTTCTTGAAACTAAGGTGATACAATGTATGACTTTGGGTGTCTTTTTATAAAGACCCTAATATGTCATACACTTTGAAAATGTATAGAAGTTTATGGCATGCATAACCAGATAACCTAATGATTTCAATTGGTTTATGAAATATACAAGAAATCGCAAAGGAAATTTCAAATGCCTACTAGCAAAATGATAGATATGACACTTTCTTCGTAATATAATTACTTTTTCTTTCCAAGAAGACAAAAACGTTCTACACCTTACGTGGAGTTTTTTTGTTTATAATTTCCTCAAATGGAGTTGTGGCTTACACGAATCAATTATGTTTTTTGAAGAAGACAATTTAATTTTTTTTTTGGTTACTTTCTACTTTTTTTTTTGGTTAATATCGTTTTCTTTATGTTTGTGTAGAAGTATAATGTGTTTTATCTTTGACAGAAAAACTCAAACGTTATGTATGGAATAAATATTTATTTATACTTAATTGAGGGTAAACGAATATTTTTACACAATAATTTGTGTTATTTTGTAACTTTAAATTTGCTATTAAGGTTTTTGTTTTCTTTTACTGCCCCAAATTCTTCATCTTATTTTTCCTCATATTTTCTTTCTTTTTCATCTTGACTTGTACTTTTTGTTTTCTTCATCTTCTTTTTCCTCATATTTTTATTCTTCTTCGTTCTTCATCGTCTTGACTTGTACTTTTTTTTTATTCTTCTTCCTCTTATATATCTTTTAATTTTCTTATTCCTCACCCTTCTCTTTCATATTCATCATTATCTTTGACGACTTCTTCATCATCTTCGTATTCTCTCAGTTCTTCTTTTTTTTTTAATTTTTATTAGCCTTGTTTATTCTCTACTTCTTATTCCTTTTCCCATTTCTTCTTCTTTTACTTTGTTTTCTTCATCTTTCATTTTTTTCTTCCGGTTCCTTCATTAACTCCAACATCTTTTTTCTTATCTTTATTCTTCTTTACTGTTTCATGTTCTCATCTGCTTCTTATTCTCCATGGTTTTATTCAAATTCATATTTTTTTGAGTTCTTATCATCAACTACATCTTCTTTATACTTCTACTTTAAAGTTGTAAGAATTATAGGTGAATAAAAGTAATAACAATAGATATGATGATTTATCAGGAAAAAATATATGTACGTTTTATAACAATAAATAACAATTATGAATGAGTAAAAATAAGAACAATACATAAATTATTAATTTGCAAAAACTAATCAAAAATCTGTTTAATCGTTTATTTTTATTGATGATTATTAAATCTAGAAAGTACATTAGAGAAAGTAATTAAAATCCAAACACAACGAAAAATCTAAGAAGTTGATAATTAAGGAAAAAAATCAAAGACAATGCAAAGAAATGACGAAACTTATACGAAAAAACATTGAATGAATCTCCAAACACAAAAGGGATTCATCATAGAACATGCATAACAAAGCAGTGTACATCATTCGAAGAGAGGAGTGGGAACCCATTGGCCTGCCTCATAGAAAGCTTCGATATACTCGGTATCATCGTGAATTAAACCCAAATCACAACAAGCATATTTGAAAGTAGGGTGGACAACATCATTAATTGTTTTTATATCCATATAAAAACATGGATCGCGAACGACATGCAATGAAACTCTTAAGTAGTAGGTTTCACCAGCGTTAGGGTTACAGTTGGCTATAATACTCGGTCCAGAGTTGCCGCAAAGACGGGGATGCCATTGACATTTTTACGATCCCAAATTCAATTGATCGGAAATTCAGAATACATATACGATATGGCTTTAGGATAGTCATAATTACACTTCAACCAACCTGTAAATTTATCGTTGTAAACATCAGCAGAAAAATGTTTATATTCTGTAAAAACGATTTAAGATGGAGGCAGGTGATATGGCAAAATCTGGGATCACAGAGGGGACGATTGCTAGTCGCTTCAGAAAATTCATAAAATTTTTGAAAGAAAAAACTATTAGGCAATATATTCACATAAGAAGAACGTCTAGAAGCAGAAAAAAACATTTAAAGCACGAATTAAATATAAAAAACAAAAATTTTATTTACCTGACAATACTATTGTAAGGCGAGAGATGAAATATTCAATCAGCGAAGTATGAACTATAAAAAATAATAGGTTGTCATTACGGAAATGCATAAATAATAGTATATATCAATTTAAAAAAAGACGTGGATGATTTTTTTTTTTAAATGCTAGACCTTAGAAGACGGACGTTGTATGTTAGAAATAATGAAAACCGAGAGGAATATATATAACACGATGGATACGCTAGGATTTAAGTTAGTATCGACTTTGATATCGGTGGCCCATAACCAAAATCAATGGCTAGGACCAACTTCAAGATTGGTGGCCCACAAACAAAATCGCTGGCTCCCATGTCACGGGTATTTACAAAATCGCAGGCCCATAATCAAGGAAAAAAAAACCATGTCACGGGTATTTACACGTAGGATTAATGATCGATCTATAAGAACTAATTAAAACGCCACATAATTTTTTAATAAAGACACATAGGACAATCAAGTAAAACCAACCACCTATAATTATACGAACAATAAAGAAGAAGACGTCTAGAGAAAAAGAGATTAGATTCTATGAACAATAAAGAAGAAGACGGCTAGAGAAAAATAAAAATCACTGACAATTAACAGAAGAAATTTTTGATGTTAAAAAAATATGTAGGAATAGAGGTATATATTTATGCGATAGATGCTTTAGAGTTTTTGAGTTTTGAGAATCAGTGGCTATGATCGAGTACAAAATTGTTGGCCCATCTCCGTTGGGCCCATTTATCGAAGAAGTTCATGAACAAATTCGTTGGTCCATTATCGTAGTAAAATCCATGTCACAGATATTTAACATGTATGATTAATGATTGACCAATAAAAACTAATTAAAACGACACATATTAAAGACATATAGGACGATCGTTGTGGAGACAACACATAAGATTCTTTACTTCGCAAATAATAGTATAGATAATGACGTACATCTGACCCCCAAAAAAAACAAAAAAAAAATACAAGATTAAGACATAGTCTATCTGTTTTCTAAAAGATAAAAGAAAGTTTCTTCTTGATTTACTGATAAAAGAAACGGTTAAATAGAGTGAGATCTTCGTTAACAAAATATGGGTTGAATACTTGGTAGATTGTTCAGGAAGGAAACAGCACATTTCCGTTTATTTTATGAGTTCAATATTCATATCATATACGTGCAACAACAACCAACATCAACTGATTATATATCGAAATCTTCTACTTACTAAAAATATTTTCTTCTCTCTTACATCTCTATTAACAGCACCAGTATTCTCAATTTAGATAACTATATAATAATATCTTCTTTGGTGAGTCGATCATCTAATCTAATATATTAAACAAAACTTTATAAAAACCCAATATTTCACATTTACACAATCGTTTCATCACTTAAATATAATTATATATAATCCATTTCATGTTGATTTTACTTACATACATTCAATTTTTGAGATAACATGTTAAACTCAAAGCACAGATAAATCCATCATCTACACTACGTACAAGAAAACAATCACATAAATTATTTTGACTGGCCGAAAACTCATGCCCTCATCTTTTAACAGCCAACGCCACATCCACCACCGCAACCTGAAACCACCAGAGTCATTACCATAGCGTTTACGACGGCCTGAAACCTTTTTAACTACTGGCGGCGGTGGAGGCGGCGGTGGCTTTTTCTTCTTCTCCGTTTTGGCCACTTGCGGTGGAGCAGGAGACGGTGTAATTTTCTTGCCTGTTTCATCCACTTGCGGTGGAGGCGAGGACGGTCTTATCTTGGTGCAGCTGATGAAACAGCATAAGATACGAAACATCACCATAATTATAGCCAAAGGAAATGTGAACTATGGCAATGCGTATAAATGATATTGACCTTTTATATAAATATTGCAACAAAAAAAAAATCTGTTGACTTTTGTTTATTTAGATAAACTTGCCGATGTGAGCCACATGGCATGGATGTTTTCTGAAAGATGCGAGGAATTGCAAAGGAATCATCAATTTGTTTGCAGATAAACAAAGTAACCTTTTAACAATTTTTATAGAATAATAAACAAATAAATTGAATCAATTTTAAGTGGAAGAGAACAAGTACCGAACTACTATCTATTTGGTTAATATACGTTATGTTTCACAAATGGTATTTGTTTTTCGGTTTTTAAGAATTAACGAATTTCAAATGTATTACAAATGGTTTTGCCAAGCGAACTAGTTCAGAGTTGTGATTAAACCAGATTGCTTGTAAAAGTCGTTGTTTGAATTGTTAGTCATCTATATATATTTCTCTTTTGACATAGTATTTTTACCATACTATAATAAGATATATAAACAGATTAAGCTGATCAATATAGAGAATTAAATAAATGTCCTTTGGTTAAGACTATTTGGTCTTTTTTAAGAATGGAAAATAAAGTTGTGGCAGATAACCACCTAACCAAGTTGCAGAAACTGTATAAAACAGTCCATGCTATATTATATCTCATTAATTGGTGCATTATATACTTTGTTTAGCTAATAGTTGATATATCAGATTTTTCTAATAATTACGAGAACTAGCGAAGATATCAACTGAAAATACTGTAAGAACTGGTTTGTATGTTGAATTTTGTTAGACTATATATATATTTCTAGAAATCTTTGTTTATGTAAGAATTGGTTGGTTATTATTTTAGAGGCTGTTACTTCAATATAGAATTATATGTATGTGAGATTATTATCCTACAGTGTTACCTCATCTGAAAGTTCATGGATGATGGATCCACGTTACATTAATTGCAAATAATATAAATTAACACAAATTCATGAATTTATATAATTATATCGAAGAAAAAGCTACAATTTAAGAATACTATCATTAACTAAGATATAACTAGAAAACCTCGGTTATTTAACTTCCCCCATAACCTCCGCCACCACCACCGCCGCCACAAGCGCTTCCACCACCACTAATTCCACCACCACCATAACCACTGTCACCACTCACCACCACCACCACAACCGCCGCCACCACCACCACAACCGCTACCACCGCCAGTAATGCCACCAACTCCATCAAATGCTGAAGTAGAAGCCGCACTCATAATAGTGAAATCTCCACCATCTCTCTTGCCCTGAAGCTCACTCAATTTCTTAGGCGCCTTTTCTCGGAAGCCATCGCCCACGGTGCATGGAAATGGAACAACAGGTTTCTTCATGGTGTCCCTTCTACCTCGCAAGCGATCTTCCGGAGAACCAATCGTCAAATGTACGACACCTTAAATATTAATCAATTAGCCAAGAGAAACAACGAAGATTTTGTCAAGAAAACCCCAATGCTAGTTTAACAAACAGAAAAAAACAGTAAACAAAAATTCCAAACGCTCTCAGTTCCTAATGAATTTACACTCATAAACAGGAAAATTATATTCATAACCAGAAACTTACCATTTTCCACTTCAATTTTCCTTGGCTGATGTGTAGGAGCACTGACTATCCTACTTTCCACTGCGGCGTCTCCGGCGGTTGACGTTTCTTCTTCTTGTTCATCATGCAACAACGAATCATTTCAAGCTTGTTTGAAAGATTTATTGTTGATGATAATTAGCAGAGTTAGATGAAAAGAGGAAGGAAGATGCATGAGATAATGGGAGATTAGCGAGCATTTAATAGGGTAGTTGATTCAAAGCAGTTCCAGAAAAAGCCTGTGAACCAGTGGAGTCCTAAATGAATTGTAGAGTGACTAGTGAGTCTATATCCTGAAAACATACAAAATACAAATGCATCATTATTGAAGGTCCAAGAAGTATCCACCACTTTATTTTTGGCTACGATATTCTTCCACGCGCTCGAAGTGGACGAGATATATGCATGAGATAACGAGAGTTTATTGATCATAATACTAGCAAATTAGAATAATTAGTTTAACAAAAAAAACAGGATAACTGAAGTTTTCTCATTACGTTAGATTGATGTTATGGTTGAATTTTATGTATATATATATATATATACATTATATTTGCAAATTTAATTACTCTTATATAGTTATTACTTAGTTATTTTTTAAGAATAGAAACTAATTGTACCGGTACGTTTAATTGGTCATTTGGATGCTCTATTATGTGATAAAAACTAAATCTCTGTCTTTACGAAATACGTTAGACAAATTTTATTTCATTCAATTTTACGATCTTTACTTATGATAAAATGTGTATAAATTGACAAATTATGTACCCAACAAAAGAATTAATATGCATTTTATGTTTGGAAACAATATTTATTTATATTAGATATTTCAAAGATTTAAATAAAGCTGATTTAATCATTAGTATGAATTATTTATGAGAAGGTTTAGATTTACAAACATATGGCTTTCTTCCCAATTCTCCCTAGCATTTATGCAGTAAGCGTTTGTTTACCAATACGATCTTGTTGTTTTTGGTGAAAAAAAAATGTATTAAAAAGTCCTGTTTGAGCAAGTTGGGGAATGTAATAAACTGAAGAGATTTGCGTGTCTGGGCATCCCGCGCGGATTAGGTAGTCGTCTAATTGTAGGACGATCATTTCTGTACCAACCACAGATAGAATATTGACCAAAGTAATGATCATTGAACACTTGAAAATGAAATAACGAAGTATGGCTCTTTAAGGGTCCTCATATTTTAACATATACAAATGTTGACCAAAAGAATAATAACAATAAAATGTAAGAAAATTTTGTGTAAACAAGAATTTAACATTGGCACAATTGTTTCACCTTATGATTTTTAGTATACATTTAGATTTATTCACATTCAAATTTACCTTCTCGTTAATTAATGAGATCACACTTTAAAATCTTCCATGTACATATAAATATCTTACACAACACAAGAAATCATTACATAATAACTACGAAAGGCTTATCCTCCACATCCGCCGCAGCCACCGCAACCACCGCAACCTCCACATCCCCCGCCATCCCCACCACCGGCATCACCGCCTCCACCACCAGAACCGTGACTACCACCACCATCGGAAGCTTTGGTTTTTACAGCCGCAGGTTTAGCAACTGTAGTAGTGGAAGGAGTAGCAGTCAAAACAACCAGACCACCATCTCTTGCACCGCCACTTTTAGCGTTTTCCAAGTCCCTTGACTGCGGCGGAAGGGGTGGAGACCATGTCTTTTTCTTCTTGCGGTTGTGAAGACAGCATATGATAAGAATCACTGCAGTTGTAACGACACAACCGCATGCTATAAGAGCAATAACATAACCTTTCATTGTTTCTTTTTAGTTTTCCTTTTCTTCAAAGTTTAAACTGTAGTGATACAATTGTATGACTTTGGGTGTCTTTTTATAAAGATCCTCATTTGTCGTACACTTTGAAAATGAATAGAAGTTTATGGCATAACCAAATTATTTTAATTGGTTAATGAAATATACAAGAAATTGCAAAGGAAATTTCAATGTCGACTAACGAAATGATTGATATGACATTTTCTTTCTTGATTACTTTTTCTTTCCAAGACGATAAATTCGTTCAACACCTTATCTGGATTTTTTTTTGTTAACTTCCTTAAAATGGAG